GAGAGTGGCAAATCTTTGAAAAATCCGCATCACTTGAAGAACATCCAGAATTCCAGGTCTAGCTAGACTGGTTTCCTCAACCCTGGCACCCTCCAGATGTACAATGCAGACCAGCACCTAAAGGGTTGAATGGAGCATTAGCAGTTCAGTGAACTTGTTAGTTGGCTTGAATGCTACGACATGACACATTCATTTGCATCATTGCTTATACTGTAGTTTGCATAGACTTTAATAATAGTTTGTAGTCAGATACAGTGCAGTGTAGCATTTCTGGCTGTGGAATTAATTAAATGTCCAGCTGCATGTTTGCCCTATTTCTTAAAAATACAGAATATTTTTGGTTGTTGAAAGTGATGGCAGAAGCTTCAAGAGCTGATCTAAAGCCTTTGGGAAGCCATAAGCTAAAATGTTCCACTCAACCTCTCCATATAGACCACCCATAGCAAAATAGGGAGATAACACAGAATTCTCTGCAATTATACAAATGATCCCCATTTTTATAATTACTTCAATAATTCTTATTAGCTCCACTAGTATCAAAGGAATAGAAATGTGAGCACTGCATTTATGTTTTGTGCTCTTCTTCGCAACAAAAAAATAAAATACAATACTTTACCAGTTTATCCAGGTAAATTGTCCCATGGGATTGAAGTATAATCTTGGGTTGCATGCATAATTATGAATTGATTCATTCAATCGTTATTTTTAAAAATAGAAATTCTTAACAGTGAGTTGATTTCAATTTCATTCTTTGCCTAGAAGCTTGCAGCAATATAAAAAGTTAGCAGCCAACTCCCATGTTATGCTGAACTTTCTGTATTTCTTTGTGTCTTATTTAGAGACAGGCCAGAAATAGTGCTTAGATCTTTCCATAAGCAAGCTCTCCTGCTTATTTGGTGCTATAATTCTGTGCATGATAACTTGAAGGAATATTTTCACCGCTAGGTGTTCATATGACTCATACTGCCTGTGAATCAGTGGCTGACCAGTTTGTCACTCTAGAAACAAATAGAAATTCTATTACAATATTTTTGAACCAAGAATTAAAAAAAAAACCTTTTACTAAGTGACAGACTCTTCTAATTAGAAGCTCTTTCAGTGGAAGGGAATAAATTGGACAAGATGATTGTTTCCATCTCATTTTTAAAGGATTTATCAAACACTTCGTGTTTCTGGAGAAGATTAATTCTTTTACCTTAATTCTCATCTTGCCTTCCCAAGGAGAACAGGGTCTTTGTGCAGATAGTCCTTGACAGTTGAGCCCAAGCAAGACAATTGTTAAGTGAGTTTTCCCCCATTTTACAACCTTTCTTGCCACAGTTGTTAAGCAAATCACTGCAATTAGGTTAGTAATATGATTGTTGAATCTGGCTTCACTTTGCTTGTCAGAAGGTCGCAAAAGGTGATCACATGACCCCAGGGCATTGCAACCATCATATACATATGAGCCAGTTGTTAAGCCTCTGAATTTGGATCATTTGATCTCAATGCTGCAATGGTCATAAGTCACTTTCTTCAGTATCAGTGCAAAGGTCGAACATTAAAAATGGCTGCTAAGTCAAGGACTAAATGTATTTTTGTAATGGCTTTTTCTTAGCATAGGCATTGATGAGGCATATTTTTATTATGCTTTCACATATGTTACGTGCTCAAACTTTCTATGATTTTTTTGCTGAGTGATAACAGGAAAAGAGCAAACGAGTAATGCATTGATTTGAGCTCTTTTATTATATAGTCAGATGTGATGACATATAGTAGAAGGTTTTATAACTTTGGTAGTCCTTTGCTTACAACTGCATGCTTAGCAACTATTCAAAGTTACAACAGACTGTCCAAAAGGTATTTACAAACTGGTTTCAGAGTTACGACCGTTGCAGTCCCCCCCTTCCACGGTCACCAATTGCTCACTTCACTTTTGAAGCTCTTCAGAGTTCAGGAATTTGGGGTAGGGAAGGAGGGGAGGTGGCTCTGCTGTTGGTGTAATCCCAAAAGTGGCCATCTTTTTCTGAGTGCCATTGCAAACCGCCTCCACCCAGTGACACATGGCACAGCTAACGCTACTCTCAGGTTTGCTGTTCCTTGCTAACTCTAGGCTTAGTTCCCCCAGTATTAGCTTCACTAGCAACTGTGACAAACAGCATATGAAGCTGTTGGTTGGAATTTTTGAAATGCTGTAAGGAAAATACCAAGAACAATTCATTCAATTTCCCCTATGTAGGAGTCCCCTACTCCTGCCAATCCAGAGATCTACTTCTGTTGTGTGTTCCACAACTAGGGTAGAGTCACCAAACCATATGACTTCTTCCTGCTCAGGAACTCGTGTCCTCTCTATTCAGGACTGGATCTTACTCTCCAGCTGTTGACTCTGTCTGGCCTCTGCTTTAGCAAAACTGCTCATCCACTGGGAGCCTTTAAATCTGGTCTTTCTCATCGGGCAGGGCGAAGGTGCCACTCCCATGGAGAGCAGGAAGAAATACCGCTTTCTTTCAATTTGGCCAACGGGGCTTTGGAAAGATGGCCCCGTCAGCAACAAGAACATCCACTCATGAGTCGTCTTTCTTCCCCCTTCCTCCTAGCAATGAAGGATGCAGACAAAGCATAAAATGCACGTCTTCCCTATTCTTAGCAAGGATGAAGATCGGAGAAGCAGCTTTCCACCCACCTTTCAATGGCTTCCTCTCTCCCCTCACCTGCAATGAAGCACTTCTGAAGAACAAAGACCTCACTGGCTCCACTCCAGCCACTTCTCCAACTTCTGCTCCTCAACTAGGGGAAGGGGTGTGTGCAAAACGAAGGGAGAGACAGTCTTGCTATGCCCATGGTGGTGTGCCTCTAGCCTTAGTTCTTCCAAAAGCAAAACTTAGTGAAGCTCCTGAGGACTTAATTTTTCCCTTCCATTTCCCCCTTCCCCCATTTCTTTCATACGCAACCTTGGAAATTAAACACCTCACACCATTTGGAGCAGACAAAGGTGGGTGGGAAGAAGGCCCAAGGACTAGGTGGAGCCCCAGAGGTGGGAAGCAGAGCACAGGGTGTCTTGGGGTGAGGGAGGCCTGAGGCAGGTGGCCTTGTGCCTGCAGTAGGCCTCCCAGGGCCTTCCCCACCCTTGAGACTTAATGTCCCGAGTGTTTGTTTAAAGGTGACATCAGGGAGAACACGGATGGGGTGTTGTTAAGTAAGGCTGTTCAGTTAAAGGCTGTCCCATTTAATGATTGCCTTGAGGAGAACAGAAATGGGGGTGGTACTTAAGTGAGGTGGTTCTATTAAAGGTGATCCCAACTTTGATTGTATAGGGCAGATTCCATTATGGTCGTAACTTGAGCACTATCCATGTAGTCAGATGTGATTATATGTAGTTTAATCCTGTTTTGAAGCTAGTTTTGCCCTCTTCCAAAAGACACTTCGACAGATTCTTTGCTTTCTGCACAAGGAAGGATAAATAGCTGAGATTCAAAAGCTATGACGTTGGGAAAGCTAAGTTAGTTACTGTATAGGAACATACATTTTCAGTCATCTATATTACTCATTTCAAGAAAAGAAAATATTTGGATACTTGCTGAAAAAGCCTATATAGATGCTTCATGAGCTGAATCTTAAGATTTAGAAAGAGCCTGTTTAGCTTTGTGGTGATTGGAAATTGAATTTCAGAGCAGAATTTGGAAAAAATCCTATTATGGGAGAAACATAAATATATAATACTGCCTGCGTCTTTTTTTAGTTACCACAATGGAATTACATTAACAGAAAAGCTATATTATATCATGGTGATTCTCTATATTTTATAGAAATGGATGCTGGTATTTTCAAGGTATATGCTCAGAATTGTTTTGCTTGCTAAATGACAGAGAGAGAGAGAAAAAAAGACATGCTTGTTAAGATAGCTCACAAACTAGTAATGCAAATGGTAAAAGTAAGCTTTTTCCTTTTAAAAATCCTTTTGCTTCTCCCAAAATACTCATTGAATGACCAGTGATTTAATCTCAAAGTTTGCTGTGAATTGAGTATGGATTTGTAGATTTCAAGCTCTAATACAGATAATCCTGGTTTAGTGAATGCCTCGTTGTGGTGACCAGTCACAGTTACGATAATGATGAAAAAGTAGCATTACAATCAATGCTTTTATTTATGACCTTTGCAGGGCTATAAATTAAATAAAAGCTGAAGTAAGAACATCAGCACAGTTGCAACTGTTTCACTTCATATATCGAATTCCTGGTCCCAATTGTGGTTGTTTAATAAGGATTACTTGTATTCCCCACTTTAAAAATTAGTTTTAAAGTTTACTAAAAAGAGTTCATCATTTAAATGAACAAAATTACAGGTAGTCCTAAAGGTATGATTAATGGAGCCTGCAGTGGTTGTTAAATGGACACAGCGGTTGTAAAATGAATGCATTGATCAGGACCCAGTGGGGAAGGAAGCAGTTCCAAGACTTGCAGGGACCCTGCGGTTGGGATGGGAGGCCTACTGCAGCATCCCTGCGGTTGGTCATAAGGACGAATTACTGCAAGGGCACAGCAGTGGCTGAAACCAACTAGCTCATAAGTAACCCGGAGGGGATATTTGTCATAACTTAGGATGCTAAGCAACTGGGAATAGGTTGAGGACTAACTGTACCTGTAGCGGAAATGGTAATTGATTGTATAGGAAGCATGTATTGCTACATTTATTTAGAGAAGAATCTTATGGAAAACGTCAGATATCAGCATTTTATTACGAATAGAGACTCGGCTAGATTATTTATTGGCTGACCAGCTAGCATGGTATAATGATAAGTACTAGGATTGGGACGATCCAGTTTCAATCTTATTTTTGAGCAGAGAGTGATTGGAGGAGGGTAATAAGAATTTATAAACAGGTAATCCTCTGAAGATTGTTTTATTGTGTTATGCATTTTCTTTAGTTTATGTTTAATAAAATTTAATAATAAAATAATGCTATAGTAAATGCTTCACTGTGAGAAAATGACTGTATTTTAATCTAGTGTGACTGGTTTTTAGGAGCTGAATGATCTGGCACGTGATCCTCCAGCGCAGTGTTCAGCAGGGCCTGTTGGAGATGATAGTAAGTATCTGTAAAAAAGGAAAAGGCCTCAGATTAGGATTCTTTTGGGCAGTAAGAAGTATCCTAAATGTATTCCTATTCGACTTCTCTTTTAAATGCAAAGCCTTCTAAGCCAGTGAGTGCCATCAGAGTAACATCTGCCATCAGAGCACATACCACCACGCATTGCTGGTTCAGTCAACTTGGAACCAAAACAACTGGTTAATGAATTTCATTGAAACAACCTACTTCCACTTTTCCTAAGACGGGTAAAATAGATTCAATGGATTTCTGTTCTTAAAAGACTTACAGAGAATCCTTAATTTTGATCTTGAGCAATTACAACCTTATATCTTAAAATTAAAATTTACTATCCATTAAACTAATTGTGTACAGGTAGTCCTTGGGTTACAATGGCAATTGTATGCTGTCACTGAGTGATGTGGCAGTAAAGCATGACATCATGTAACTACATCACTTAGCAACAGCAATCTAGGCGATCATGATTGCTGTCCGAATCCCAAGACATGCAGGAAGTGGCAGGAGTCTCAGGTAAGGAGCATGGGGATACTGTAGGGGGTGGAGGGAGAGGCCCTGGGCGGCTGGCTGCAAGTCCACACATGAGTTGTATGCATGGCATGCAAGCTCAGGGAAGAGTGGGGATTTAGCAGAGCGGCTTGCAACTTTCCCTGCCAGATTTCCCATTGATTTTGCTTGTGGGAAAGTGGTAGAGAAGATCACAAATTGTGATCACGTGAGTGTGGCATGCTGCAACTGATAGATGCCAGCTCATTGTTAGGCTCCTAAATGATGATCAAGTGACTGCAGGGGTGCTGGAACTTCAAGGACTTGTCATAAGCACCACTTGTTCAGCATCTTTGAAACTTTAAACATCACTGAATGAGTGATCGGTAAGCAAGAACTACCTGAATTAAATGTATAGTAAATTTAGTAACCGAAGATGTTTGGATATGTTTATTATCTTAAATCTGTTTGAGTGATAGTATAAAAGTACTTCTTCAGGAGGTAATGTTTCATATACCAAATATAAACCATCTCTGTCTTTCAGAAACAGCAATGTGAATTGACATGCACTGAATAAAATACATATATGCTACTAATCAAATTAACTTCTAATTGCCATTTCAATGCCTAGACTAAGTTAGCTTATTTGTTTCTCACTTTTATTATATTAATATAGCCACCAAACTCATATAGTATGACATAAAACCAGACTTTAAATTGAAATTGTGAGCAGTTTGGATGCCTGGGATCTGCATTTGTCCAGTTATTTGTGTAGTAAATAACAGCAGAACCTATTGATGGTGGCAGGGAGATCATGCTAAGTCATAACCCAGCTTAGCAACAAATCAATGTGCTAGAATATACTAACTAGTCTGATAGCACTCACTGGCATTTCCCCTAAGTTAGGTCTAAGTAGTAAATAACTGATAATTTCTGTTCGTTCCTAGAAGAAGTACCTACTTACAAGATAGGCCATAAATAGACCATTCATGAAATTGGTCATAATCTAGAAACCACTAAATGTAGTAAGAGTACTAGCGCATTACTTTGCCATTAAGCCATATTATGGCTTAAAATGGCTGAGATTTTCAAGGGAGGATCTTTAGTCTTAAGTGCCTTAGTCAAGCTTTCACTTTCTTTTTTCTTCTAGTGTTCCACTGGCAAGCAACAATAATGGGACCAGTAAGTAGCCCTCCAATTTTAATTATGATAGAGGCAAATATCCTATATCGTCTTCTAATAGCTTTGTCTTTGCAGAATGACAGCCCCTATCAGGGTGGGGTGTTCTTCTTGACAATTCACTTTCCAACAGATTACCCCTTTAAACCGCCTAAGGTAGGAACATTTTAGATCCCGACATAGTTGATACATCTTATGCTGTGTATTATAAACCAAGGAAATAATTTATTTTTAACAGGTTGCATTTACGACAAGAATTTACCATCCAAATATTAACAGTAATGGCAGTATTTGTCTTGATATTCTACGGTCGCAATGGTCTCCAGCATTAACTATTTCAAAAGGTAAGCAAAAAAAGTTTTTATTGTACATGGATATATATTTCTAGAGACAATGATATATATGCTGCTGTCTTTACTCTTTAATTTCCTACTTGCAACCAATTTAGAATTTAAAGCACCTAGCCTGATTCTACCAAAGTTTATGGAGTTACATTTTAATTATATCAGATCAATTTACTTTTGTCTTTGTCCCATGTATGTCTTCGCTCTGGTTTTGTGAGCAAGTTTGACTTCTACTTTGAACTGAAACATTATAAGCATTTGGTTTTAATTATATGTGTTATTTGGATATCTATTTCTTTTAAAAATCCTCATAACCAGAAATATCTGAATTGAAATATTAAATTAGAGGAAAAAGGCAGCAAGCAATAAAGAGCATTGTGAGGATTAAATATTCTATTAAAATGAATTCAAACTCTTAGTAATTAATATCAAATAAACATTCAAAATATTTATTTATTTATTGAATTTATATTGCCGCCTATTTGCCCATGGTGACTCAAGCCAGCTTACAGAATATAAAAACCATATTTAAAACAATAAAAACTAACAAAAAGAATCAAATAAATACAGTACAATGAAACAAAATTACCTCCCACCACCCCAGCAACAGCAGATCACACGAGCCATTTAATGGGCTCCATCCCACTCTGGGTTCCCCAGGTCCGCTGGCAGAACCAGGTCTTCAGCGCCTTCCGGAAGAGTATTAGAGTGGGGGACATTCTAATCTCTGTGGGAATGATGTTCCAGAGAGAGGGAGCCACTATGGAAAAGGCCCTTCTTCTGAGTCCCACCAGGTGTATCTCCCTCGGGGATGGGACCCGCAACATTCCCTGCCACCCCACTCTGATGGGTTGGGTAGATGTGACCGGCAAGAGACGGTTCCTCAGATAAGCTGGTCCCAAGCCATGAAGGGCTTTGAAGGTGACAACCAGCACTGTGAATTGCACCTGGAAGCAAATTGCAGCTCTCACAGGCGAGGTGATACATGTGCACACCGGGGTCTGCACAAAGCCATGCTGGCTGCTGCATTTTGCACCAACTGGAGCTTCCAGTTGATCTTCAAGGGCAGCTCCATGTAGCACATGTTGCAATAGTCAAAGATGGGAAGTGACTAGGCCATGCTGTGAGTAGGGACTGTTGGTCCAGGAAAGGGTGTAACTGGCGCACAACCTGCAGTTGCACAAAGGCCCTCCTGGCCAAGACCTCCACCTGCTCTTCGAGCAAGAGTCATGTGTCCAGAAAAACACCTAGATTATGCACAGGATTTGTTTGGGGAAGTGCCATCCCATCCAAGACCAAAGGTGGTCATTTTACCTGAGCCAACGAACCCCCAAACCCAGAGCCACTCAGGTTTGCAAGGGTTTAGTTTCAACCCATTGGTCCCTATCCAGCCCCTAAAAGCCTCTAGGCACTGCAAGAGGGAGGACACAGCATCACTTAACTCACTACTGACCGAGACATACAGCTAAATATCATCAGCATATTGGTGATACCTCAGTCGATGGTGATGGATGATCTCACCCAGCAGCTTCATAAAAATGTTGAACAGGAGCAGAGAGAGTACCGAGCCCTGCAGAATCCCGCAAAGCCATGGGCAAGGGCTGGATCTCCCCCTTCCTATCAACACTGAGAGCGGCCGCAGAGGAAGGAAGTGAACAAGGATAGCACAAGGCCTCCCACTCCCATCCCCCGAAGCTGCCCCAGGAGAATACCATGTTTGATGGTATCAAAAGCCACCAAGAGGCTAAGTAGAGCAAGGATGGATGCGCTACCCCCATCCTGCTCCTGCCAAAGATCATCCAAAAGTACAACCAATGCCATTTCTGTCCCAAATCCAGGCCTTGGTAGCGGTCGAGATAATCCATTACATCCAGAAACTGAATCTGGAGCTGCCGCGCAACCACCTTCTCAACCACCTTCCCCAAAAAGAGAAGATTGGAGATAGGTCAGAAATTATCCAACCGGGTGGAGTCCAGCGATGGCTTCTTAAGAGCATGGACCACAGCCTCCTTAAACTGCTGGGCTCTGTCCCCTCCTGTAGGGAAGCATTAATCACCGCCAGAGTCCACCCGCCTGTCACCACCTAGGAGGCTTTCACAAGCCAGGAGGGACATGGGCCTAAAACACAGGCGCTTGTGCGCAGACTCCCTAGGATCCTATCCACTTCCTTGGGAGCAACAGGGTCAAACTGTTCCCAGATCACAGGGCAAGAACCTGTCTCAGGCTTCCACCAGACCAGCAACCATGCCAGCATCTGACTGGGAATGAAGTTGAGTGATTTTGTCTTCCAGAAAATCTGCAAATTCCTCAGTCCTCCCCTTTAGGTGGACATCAATCTCCTCCTTCCCCAGGAGGAGGCGGCTCACCTTAAAGAGGGTCATTGGGCAATTATCTGCAGATGCAATTAGTGCGGAGAAGTATTTACCACCTATTGCTTCCTTGTTTTTCACACCACAAAAGAGGAGGGCTTATAGTCATGCTCAGTATAGCTAACCCCCTATTTTGGAAAATAAGCATGGTTGCATGCACAATCCTTTACTCATCTTAAAATTTTCAGGTATTCAGTAAATTTGTGGAGAGGTTCTGAAAAAATTCAGTAGCTTTATCTGTCAACTGTTGCATTTAAATTTGCATATTAAATTTCTTTCGTTGGTTGTAATTCTCTTTGTTTTCTAACACTTGTAATATTGCCATAGTATTTCACATTGATCCAGGGGTGGGATTCAATTTTTTTAACAACCAGTTCTGTGGGTGTGGCTTAGTTGGTGGGGATGGCTTGGTGGTCATGTGACTGGCTGGGCTTGGCCAACTCAACATCACTCACATGGAAGCACACTTCAACTTGCCTGGCCTCTCGCGACTGTGGGAATGCTGCAACAGTCGTAAGTGTGAAAAATGGTCATAGGTCCCTTTTTTCAGTGCCATTGTAACTTTGAATGGTCACTCCACACAAGCAAAGTACCAGCAAAGGAGGAAAAAAAACTCCTGAGAAGTTCCTGAAAGTCTAGTCCTGCCAAGAATGTAATAAGGGTTAACGGAGAGGCAGTTTCTGTAAGCAGCAGCAGAATGTTTCCTTCCTGCCTTCCTTACAGGATTAGGCCAGTAATTTCTTCTAACAACCGGTTCTCCAAACTGCTTAGAATGTTAACAACCGATTCTAGTGAATAGATGCGAACCTGTAGAATTCCACCCCTGCACTGATCTTGTATTAACCAACACTGCACATGTGATTATGTTGTACAGCAATTATGCAACTCATAATGTACAACAATATTTTACGTAGATTCTCCTAGTAAGTAAGTTAACATTTAAAGCAAATTTCAAACTAGAGAAAATTTGTTTTATCTTGTATTATAATGTTTTATTTTAAAGAAAAGAAATATATTAAGAAATTTTATATATTAAAAATATCTTATAGTTTCTGGTACTTTCATTCAGGCAATATCATTAAGCTTTGATTATCTGCATATGTTTACAGAATAAAGTTGTTTTGATTTACCTAAAAGAATGATTAACTTTTATTATGTTTGGTACTATTCAGACCTTGTCTTGTCTAGTTTTACAGGTGTGACCTGGTTTATTCAAATAAGTTTGACATGTAACACCCTCTCTTTTCTTATTCTAATTCTTGTACAATAGAAATAGTTACTCTGGTGCTTGGAGACATCCAAATATGGGTTAAACTCTTCAGTTGCTTAAGAAGGGAAGATCACATTGTTAAAGTCAGCTGTTAGTGCCTCCATGCTTTTCCTGTTTTCTTCATGTGCTTTCCCAAGACTGATATATTGCATGTGTTTTTTCATTCTATTTTGTTACATTTCCATCTTGAAAGCAAACAGTTGTATATTTTTCTAATCTATTGAGCTTCCCATCTCCTTACAACTGAAAGACGAGGGCACAGGTCTCTAAAGAATTTTTGTTTATTTCATCAGTGTAGTCAAAACTGTGACCAAAAAAAAAATCAGTCAAAACTTGGTAGCTTTAAGCCACAATTAATGACCTACTGTAGTGTGCCAATGCAATGTGGAACTTAATGCTTGGAAACTGCCCATGCTGTCACAATTCTTGATCTGATGTTGGGTGTCCCACCTTGCACACAGAATCCTAGTGCTAAATAGTCTGTTTGTTCAAACAATGACCAGCAAAATCTTTTTTTTAAATTCATAAACATTTTGGATACAGTGTTTTCAGGGGTGGGATATGACAGGGTTAACTATCTGTTTGGGATTTATAAGCTTCCCTGCAGGCTGCGAGCTGCGAGCCTGTAAATCGCCATCACCAGCTGCCTGCAGAGAAGCAGCCTTTGAAACAACCTTCTCTTCCTGCTTTTCTAACTGCAGCTGTGCCTCATTCGGCAGCTGAAGTTGAAAAATCAGGAAATAAAAATCAGGCAAGAGCCTGGGTGGATGAGTGGGCAAAAACATCAGCAGACCTAGAACCGATTCTATGTCTGTTGCTCTTCAGAGCTACCAGTTCTGCAGAGGTGGACAGAACCGATAGAAACCTACCCCTGAGTGTATTGTCAGGGCATATCATTTACAGAGGAAAAAAAAAAAAGGAATAGTAACATATATACTAATAACAATAGTAATAGCATAACAGAATAATTTTAACTAAATTTATCTTTATGTTAGCTTATTTGTAATCCTGTTGGTTATATTGGCATACTTGTAGTTATAAATCATCTTTATGTTTAGTTCATACATAGCAATAATCTTTTTTCATCTCATTTCTACCTCTAACCACTTATAAAATCTATCCCATGTTGAGTAATATTCTATATCTCCTTTGTCATTTATTTTTAATGTCAATCTATCCATCTCTGCACAGTCTAGTACTTTCCGAATTACATCCTCATCTGATGGAGTGTTCTCATTTTTCCAATATTGTGCAAATACAATCCTCACTGCTGTCAATACATGCAAAACTAGGTATATAGTCCTTTGATCATAGCCCTCCGGCATTATACCCAACAAAAATATTTCTGGTTTCGGACGTATATGTTGCTTGATCATCTGTTCCAGCCATGTATGTATTTTCGTCTCCAGCAAAATCTTTAGGGGGAATTTCAATCCTAAATGTTGTGTTTTATTCCCTCTAGTACTTTTGTCCATCTGTTCTCTGTTGTGTGATCCCAATCCAGATGATCCTTTAGTGCCTGAGATTGCACGGATCTACAAAACAGATAGAGAAAAGTGAGTATGGTATTCAAACATCTTATAAAACGGATACATTATTATTTTTAAATAAGGAGAATGTTTTAATTTGTGACTATGTTGATACCAAAAAAATTGGTATTAATGATTAATAATGGTGAATACTCCAGTTAGTTTTACTGAAAAATCTGGGGTTCTGTTAGTTCCATTTCAAAGAAATAATTTCCCATGCACTATTATAGCTACATTATTCTTCCGGTGTCATTACTGCTGTACCACTAAACAGTAATTCTGCTAACAATTAAGAATCACATAAAAAAGAAAAATAATCAGGTTTGTGTACAATAAAAATGACTGTTTGTACTTCTGAACCTAGAAAATTGTATAGGTGATAATAGAGTACATCAGAATTCATTATTTTGAATTATTTTACAAATAGAAATTCAAACAGATAGTTAATCTGTAACATAATCCTTATATTTCTCTTTTACTAACATTAAAAGAAATTGAACATGACTAGATTTCATACTTTGCAACCTATGAAGTGCACTGCATGAAGTTCATAACTGAGGTAAAGAAAGTGAGATAAAAAATGTAAAATACAGTGCGTGTATGTGTCAGTTTGCACATGCTCATTTGTGGGTGTGTTAGGAAAGGTTCATCAGGCAGTGTGTAAGGTTTTGGGATTTTTTTTTTTTAATTCTTAGCTGTTGATAGTAAACATTAGAAACATTTCTGCCTGTTATTCTAAAAACAGGGTTGGAGTGGATGTGTTTATTTATTTAGCATATGGCATCTACAAATGTTATTTTTATTAGCTGCTTTAATGTTTGGTGAAGCTTTCCTATTGTTAATCATCTTTCTTTATCTATACAGGTACAACAGAATAGCTCGAGAATGGACTCAGAAGTATGCGATGTAATTAAAGAAATTATTGGATAACCTCTACAAATAAAGTTAGGGGAACTCTGAAAGAGAAAGTCCTTTTGATTTCCATTTGACTGCTTTCTATGAGCCCACGCCTCATCTTCCCCTGTGCACATGTTTACCTGATACAGCAGTGCTGCGTGTTGTACACACTTGGAACAACGAAATACTGTATTCCATACCAACATTGACTCCTAGCAAAGAAATGTGTGTGAAAAGCCAGTTCTTCTATCAAAGTCTAGTTGTGAGCATAAAAGCATTCCTAAGAGATTTCAATTGGGCACTAAAACCAAGCGTGAAGGGAGAGGGGGAGAATAAATTGTTTCTTGTGTTTCTGGGGACTTTTGGTGATTCAAGAGGATGCTTTTTAAAAATGGAATCCTTTTAAACTCATAACTGTAATGAAAAAAATGTGAAGAACTTAAAGCTGTTCTGTATTTTATTCTGAAGGACCTACTAAGGTAAATGTATGACCAATGAGATCAAATTGTACCTACATCCTGTGTTTAAAAGTCTGAGTTTAACTGGTCAGAATTTAAATGCATTGGAGCTATTAGTGCATCAAGTGATGTTGATTTTATTTCAAATCTCCCCCTGACCCTTTCCCTACCTTTCATAATTTTGGTTTGTATGTGTTTTCTCAATTAACATAGCTAATAGCTCTTATTTTCTTAAGTTTTTAATGGCTTAGGTCTTTCTGGATGTAAGGGTAAAAATTCATTTGACAGACTTGTGTATATTTAAAGACCCAGCTGCTCCCTTGGAGCTTGTACGTTCAAGAATGATTAATCTGTGTAATAAACTGATTACTACAGTCATTACATATAACTGTGTGAATAGGCTTTATTTTTAGTTGTCTGTTTTAAGAATCACTCTTAAGAATCAGTTTTCTCCTGATGGTTGCATTTGAAAATTGAATCTTCAAGGATTCATCATTAAAAGGCTTTACATCTGTGGGAAAAACAGATTAGTTTGACTCCAGTTTCTGATAGTATTAACTTTCATGATGACGTTCTCAATGGTTCAGGTTGATATGTCAGACCAAGATTGCTAACCCTGGTAATGGGTTTGCAAATTGAGTATCACACAATTTTGTTTCATGTGGTGTAGAATACACTATACATAAAGGATAAAAATTGGGCAAAATGGCTAACATTTTAATAAATAAAAGTACTACAGATTATGAGAAAAATTGTTTTCAAAAATGTTGCTCTAAGTATTTGGAAATATCCACTGTATATGTATATTTTCAGGAAGCCTTGAATTATGAAATTACAGGCTAGGAGATTCTGAACTACTTTAGCCATTGTATTCTGACGCTATATTTTCAAATACATCTATACATTCTTGGCACAGCTGAGAATAAATTCCCAATAGTTACCTTTTACATTTATCCTATTTGCTTATTTTATGGATGGTCTTTACTTGCAGATATGTAGCAATAATATAGCATAATTTAAAAGTATTCAAAGTCATATTACATAATTTCCAAGAGTCCATTATTTTACCATAATCTTGATAAGACTGATGTCTGAGTTAGCTCACCTAGCGGTATTCAATGAACTGATGACTAATCTGAGACTGAAACAATAATTCTGAGCTTTCATCATGATGCTCTAAGTAGACAATGGAATAATTAGTATGTGAGTGGCACATTTCCATTGGTGAAAACAGTTTATGCTAAAGGAATTTAATTCACTTTAAAGCATTCCCCTTCTTTCTCACTTCCTGCAACTTCTGTGAACTTTCAACAACTTTCCAAAGCAGAATTTGAACATACAGAGAATAGCAAAGAAAATATGCAGATTGGAAAGGTTATATTAAATTTTATTTTGCATAGTAGCCTAAGCATTGTTCCATAGGAATTATGCTACATGTGGTAAAAACGTATAGGCAATAAATGTTTACTGTTACAAAAGTGAACAAAACAGAAAAATGATTGAGACACTGGTGCTTATATGTACGTGTCAGTCCAAAAGCTTGAGGCTTTCTTGATGAAGAAATTGAGAGAATGAGCGTACTACACAACACTGATGAGAAGTTCTGAGTGGTGACGGCAGATCAGGTAATGTCAAAAGTGGATCTTGTGGGGGAAATGGATATGGAAGAGAAAAAAGTGACAGAAACAAAATTAGAACAATTGCAAGAAGTGGGTTCTGAATAAAAGTTGCTTGGAACAAACTAAAAAGAATTGGATTAGCAATTTCTAGTTACGTTAATGGGAAGTAGGAAAGTATGCTAAGTGGTGCTGATGTGAAAGAAACTGTTGAGGGGGAAATGTATGATTTCTACAAAAGATCTATAGAAAGTATTTTAAAGAAAAGCATTGTCAGTGTAGTTAAAGGAAACAAGATACAATTAAGGTTAAAAGAAACAGATAAAATATTAGCTTTGGTTGCAATTAAAATAGTTTTGGGGGTTGGTAGAAAGACGGGGGATGAAGTTGGAGCGAGGGAATGCTGAAAGAATATTTTAGAGAGTTGTGTGGAAATGGCAGCGATATATCAAAGAATGGGATTAAAATGATTGAAATAATGGCAATAGCCAAGAAAAAACAACATGTCAAAATGCCACAAGAATATTGAAGTAATAAAACTGCAGATGTTGATGGGGAAATACAAATAAATCTAAATTAAGAGAATATTTGTAGCTCAGGTTGAATTGTGGAGTCTTTGGTGCTCTCTGAACTTTGTTGTTTGTTTGCAGACATTTCATTACCCAATTAAGTTATACCATTGGGGTAAGTTGCTTCCTGTTTATATGTAGTAGCTCACCCTGCCAGTTCAATGGATGTGGGTGTGGTTTGCTCCTTAGTAGTTCTTTATTATTTTTTACTTGTTTGCCCACTGTTAATCCCTACTTATTTGGGTGTTGGTTGCTGAAGAGAATGTGTTCTGAACTTTTTGTTTCCTTCTTAATCTCCTGAATGGTTTGCAAATATAGTTTATTTCTAAGTTTCTATTGATGGCTGATTCATCTGAATGTCAAGCTTCCAGGAATTCCCTAACACTTTTGGATTTAGCTTGGTCTAGGATGCTCACAATTTCTCAGATGAAACTAGGATTGAATCTTTCATGAGTTATAAGATTAAGTGATTTTAATTGTGTCGTCTGACTGTTAGTTCATAGTCTTCTGTCTGTCTGCCCTAAATAGAGGCTATTACAGTCCATAACACTATATGTTGTAGATCATCAGGGGCGGCAAACTGGTAGCCTACAGGCTGGATGCGTCATGTGCAGGAGACACCCACCCAGCTCCGTAAAGGGGAAAAACATTGCAAAATGTCACATGATGGCAACGTGTTTTGCTTAAGATGTTTTGGGTGGCTTTAGTTGATTTGTGTGCTACAGTAATGTCTTGTTGTTGTGATAGTCTATTGACTGTTCTTGATAAAGTAGCATCGATATTCATTAACAGTGCAGTTACATAAAATGAAATCATAATTTCATATTCTATTTATAGATTTTTGATTTTTGGAGGCACTGTACCTCTCTGTGGAGACTTGATGGCACAGCATTCTTTACATTCACAGATCCAGAACTAGTAAAGGAATCCATGGCAGCAGTATGACACAACAAACCTGATCCAGTCAAATATACTAAGACCATCTATACATCTTCAAACAAAATGGATACACATGCAACTTTATCAAAAGGTGCCTGACCACTAAACCCACTGGAACACAACCAACCAGCTATGAAAAGGATAATGTTACTACACATCAAAAACATAAGAATCAACCAACAGACGATTGATTACAGCTACTCAGCATTTCTTCTGTATGGAACACAGTTGGAAGAATGCTGTGATTTTCTATGATCAAAGTTAGCAAAAACTACTTGGGGATAGGAATTAGTAAGCATGCCTTGGAAGATGTTTGTCAGAAGAGACTTAGGAGACTGGGACTTCTACTCCCTTCTTAGGCAAGAAGCCAACTGTATAATTTTGATCCAGTCATTTTTTTCTCAGCCTTAGGAAGGGGACAATGATAAGCTATTTTTGAAAATAAACTTGCCAAGAAAACTACAGTGTTGGGGAGAAGGCCAAAAGTAGATTTTTTCAGACTTCTGTGATCAATTATAATGGTACTTTGTTGAGAATTGCTCAGGTTTGCCTATCTTGATTTCTCATGGGCAAAGTCAGATGTGACTGGGATGGTATCTTGACAGATAAACTGATTTATTTTGATCTATGGATCAATGAATATATGGTACTTTTTGGTATATCTCCAGCCACATACTGGTATACCTTCAGCTACATATTCCCCTTGGCTTCTGAAATGAATTATATCACATTGGATCCAGTAAGTCATCACTGCCTCATTGTGAGATGAGGTTGTTCCTGTGAATTTAAAAAAAAGATCCTCTCCTGGGGTGAGCCCTTCCTCCCCAGTCTTTCCCTAGATCTAGTGTCTTTGGCAGTAATTTCCCATCTCTAATCTCTCCATTTTAGGCAAGGTTATTGAAACTTTGTGATCAACTATGAAGCATTCTAAAGGAATATCTAAATACTTTAGAGTCAAGTTTCAGTGCACAACCTTTCATGTTAATGGTCTCGGCAAGTTTGACCTGATTAGTCATGATACCCTTGTAGATCTGTTGAGAAACAGCCAGGTAGACAGGAAAGAGAGCTCAAGTGGGATTTTAGCCTTAAATCATTGTGCAGCCACCCGCTCAGCTCCATGGAACCACAGTAGGTTTCCAACAATACACTGTAGTGCTATGGGCTACCAAAAAGATGTTGAAATTGTGCTAACATTTATTAGCAAGTTCTGGTGCTTTGGGGACACACTTATCATGGGGACATAAAAGCAACTGGACCTAAATTGATATTAGCAGCCAGGCTGCCCAGAATCAATTGGAGCAGGGTAACTAATAAATTTACATCTCATTTACAGCTGCTGAAAATGTCAGCATTGTGTACCTGCCCTGTTAATGGAATTTTCTCATCTTTCCTTGGATTCTGTGGGAACAAGAGGCTGAACTAGGCTTTAGTCCAATTCAAGCAGAGCCCAACCATTCAGGTTGAAAATATCCAAATTGCTACTGGTTAGCAACAAGGAGTTAACATTTTCTCTCTACCTACTGCCATGAGTCAAAAGTTGAATGTGTGAATGAGTATTGCTGCTTCATGACCAACACTTCCCAGTTCAAGTACCTTCCTGGAAAAGCTCTGCTTTAAGAAACATCTGAAAGGTTAGGGCTTTGGGGCCAAAGTCAATGTTCATGGAAAGCCATTCCAAAGGGCTCAGCTAACAAGAGAAAACAGCGACCTGGGGACCATCAACTGCTGTTTCCAACTTGATCGAAGTGGTCAATCTGTTTCCTGTGGGGGATGCAGCCCTGAAACTAACCAGGTGTTAAGCTATAAAGGGATTTATATTTTGAAACCAGCACAACAAATTGCATTTCAAAGCTGAAGCCAGGGTCCCCAAAGTACATATATCGTGACCTCCATAAAGTACCTTTGGGCACCCAGCCTACTGTATTTTGCACTAAATGAAGCTTTCAGGTCCTCTTTAAAGGCTGTCCAGGAGAGATGAATCAAATGTTGCCTCATCACTAACTTTGGGATGACCAAAATCATCCTCATCTTACAGAATTCACAGTGACTTTCCCCCAGTCCACCAAAATGGGGCCTTTGGATTATACTTTGGCTTCTGAAATTTTCAGAGCCAATACTGAATTCAGAACTAATTAAGTTCCCAGTTACTGTAATTCATATAAAATTTTATATCTACTGTAACATTTCTATTTTGTCAAAAAGCAGTAGTAGGAAACAGGAACTATCCCTTATTCCCCATGCAATTTTTGCCACATAAATT